AAACTAGAAACCTTGGAACAATTAAAATCAGGTGATTGACAGAGCAGGCCAGATGAGTTGACTGCAGGAAGATAACCTGTTTGTGAATGCAGTCCCATTTTATCTTCCCACCACCAATTAAATTAAGTTCTCTTTGGCCTCCAGATTTTTTTAAACCTAAAATAAACATTGTTATGCTGCATACATCTTAATACTTCTAATCTTCTGACTAGCAGAGCAAAAAATTAATATCCTCCTGCCTGGGAAAGAAGGAAAACAGAGATGCCATTGGGAGGAGGAAGCAGAAAAAGATGAGCAACCAAACTCCCAGAGTATTTAGGTACAAATGTGTGCAACTGCACATACCAAGGCCAAATACATTTCCCAGTTATAGCGATTTTGTGGGGCAGAACTCAAATAATGGGGTGAAGGAGGGAAGGGGTGGTGTTATGTCACCTTTTCATTCTTTTCCCTCTAATCCTGTGGACAGCTAAGTTATTTGGCCTTGGGGCTGCTGTAAATGACCAGCTTCTGGTCATGATGCTCCCTAGAGGCCATTCTGCTGGAATACCAAAGGGCCAGGTGAACTGGTCATACCACCCAAACTCTACTGGGATTCCCCCTATGCTGCAGTCAGAAGGAAGGAGCAGAATAGCGTTAACTAGGCTAGCTTTACACCACCTGTGTATTCCCTCATAAAAAAGGAATCCTCAGCTAGCTTTATGAGACAGCTTTTCTTCCCCTTTGTGCTGCCGGAGCATTGCAAAGGGTAAAGAGTTGGATTGAGGATTGGTCTCAGGCTAGGTCTACACTACAGACTTTTTCCACAAAAATGGCTGTTTTTCTGCAAAAACGTGCAGAGCATCCATACCTCAAATATGAAAGGACGAACAGAAGGGTTTTTCTGGTGTAGGTATTCCTCCTCCTACGAGGAATAACTCTTTTTCGCACAAGAGCTCTTGTGCAAAAAGGTGTGTGTGGATGGGGAACAGGGGTTTTTTTGCGCAAAAAGAGGCAATCAAAAAAAGCACAGGTGCCCTGGTGGCCATTCTGTAAATAGCAATCAGAGTTTCCTTTCAAGAGAGTGTCCATGCAGTTTGGAGGGTCTCTTGCACAAGAGCGCATCGCTTTTTCGATGTGCTTTTGCAGTGTGGATGCACTCTCCCCCACTTTGTACCTCATTTCCACAGAGCAGAGCAGGGGCAGGGATGGAGAGAGTTTGTTGGCTGCTTCTGGGAGTGATGCAGGGCCCTGCCTTAGCCCCACTGCACCACCACCCAGAAGCCACCAGTGGTAAGCGGTGCCCAGCTGGAGCCTGCATTCCAAACCCCGGCCCCAGTCCTGAACCTCTCCTACCCCCCAAACCACTGCCCTAGCCCTGAGTCCCCCTGCACCCACACTCCCTCCCTGACCACCCCTCCTACACTCCAACTCCCTGCCCCAGGCTCAGAACCCCTCCCACACTCCAAATCCTTTAGCCAAAGATCAGAGTCCGCATCCCCCTTCCCTGCACCCCAGCCCTCTGACCCCAGCCTGATAAAAGTGAGTGAGGATGGAGCGAGCAGGGGCAGGAAGGAGGCAGGGCAAGGGTGTTTGGGTTTGAGGTAGATCCTGGATTGCATTAAAATTAAAAAAGTGATCTCATGCTTAAAAAGGCTGCCGACCACTGCTGTAGAGTGACTCCAGTTTGTCATTGATATAAATGAAATCAGAAAGATGCCCTTAATGTACATGGGTCTAAATGGCCTACTTCTGATCTCCCTCCTAAGCTTATCAAATCTGGAGTAACTTCACACAATCTAGTAACATTACATTGGTGTAAAGCAGTGAAAGCAAAACAGAATTAGACCAAATGGCCTTGATTCCCCACTGTCTTGTACCTTATGAACTCACTCACACTTGTGCAAAATGGGTGTGACTCACTGGGTGCCCAGTCAGAGCAGCAGCAGCCGGGTTTTAACAACTCATTTGCGCTGAGATAAAATGGTTCAAGGCTGAGGAGGGTGAGGCTCAGAGGCTGTGTCTAGACTGGCCAGTTTTTCTGGAAAACCAGCCGCTTTTCTGGAAAAACTTGCCAGCTGTCTACATTGACCACTTGAATTTCCGCAAAAGCACTGACGATCTCATGTAAGATTGTCAGTGCTTTTGCGGAAATACTATGCTGCTCCCGTTTGGGCAAAAGTCCTTTTCCAAAAACCTTTTGCGCAAAAGGGCCAGTGTAGACAGCAGAGATTTGTTTTCCGCAAAAAAGCCCCGATCGCGAAAATGTCAATCGGGGCTTTTTTGCAGAAAAGCGTGTCTAGATTGTCCACGGACGCTTTTCTGCAAAAAGTGTTTTTGCGGAAAAGCGTCCTGCCAATCAAGACGTGCTTTTCCGAAAATGCTTTTAACGAAAAACTTTTCCGTTAAAAGCATTTCCGGAAAATCATGCCAGTGTAGATGTAGCCAGAGTGTATAAATACCGAAGCTGCTGCTGGGTGTCTCACACGCAGGCAGTCCTTGAAGTCAAAGCTGTTCCTCGGTCCCTCTGTTTCCCTTTCCTGTAGATAT